TTCGTGTTGTCCTTGAAGCACACGAGAGAGAGAGAGAGAGAGAGAGAGGAGGGAGGGTGAGGGTAAAAAGAGGTGAGTTGAGAAACACGTTTTTCTTGTCCGGCTAGCCGAAGGAGGAATCTAAAGCTAACGCTGTATCCTTGAACCTTTCGCAAAGTCTGCGAGAAAGAGGCGCTCGACTCTTAACGGGATTACCCGAGGACCTAGTTTGAGCGAATCCTGGCGGAAGTGCGTTCCGCCTGCGTCCGAACGAGGCTCGTGACGATCGACAACCGGCGACTAAATCGATTTAAATTTCTTTTCACGATTTTTTTAAACTTTAATTCAATAATTCATTTCATACCATTTATTTATAAATATTTAACTCCTTTTTTTCGAAAATTTCGAGCGAGAATTTTGTCTCCGAACGCGATTAAAATGAATAAAATTTGCTTTACTTGAAAATTAAAGTTGGAAAAATCGAGAAAAAAATATTCCTAGTTCTTAAGATTTTCAATCGATTTTCGTCCGAGGATGAAAAAGAAAAATTTTGAAAGTTACATCCCTTACAATTTTCTTTATTTGAAAATTAAAGACGCAAGTTGGAAATTGAAAAAAAAAAAAATATTCCTACCCATTACGGAAGATTTTCAATCGATTTTCGTCCGAGGATGAAAAAGAAAAATTTTGAAAGTTACATCCCTGCAAGATTCGATCGAAAAAACGGTGGAAACGAGATATATTTCAAAAAGAAAAAGAAGAAGAAGAAGAGAAAGAAGAAGAAGGAATCTTTTGCAAGCATATGTATCCACTTCCGTCGAATTTCTCGACTTGACTCGAGAATGGAGGGAGAGATCGAAGCGGAGGAAACGTTGTCAGCCGGCGCCATATCTGCTCGCAAGCGTGATGGCCGGCGAAAAAAGCCACCCTCGAGGCAACTATCAATCCTCTCGCGGCGCTCCCACCCTTACAAAGGCTTGGCCAGAGCCACCCCAAAGTCTCGCGAGAATATTTGCAGCGGATGCCCGCCTCCGTCCGTCTTCGGATCCCTCGAAAATTTCGCTGCTGTCATGCGTACAACAGCTCTACGCGTGGAAAATTCGATAAAAACCTTCTCTCGAGTCGTAAGGAAATTTTTAACACGTCCATCGATATCGATAAAAACAAATAAAATAAAATCCTCGAGTAATTTTGAATTTTCGCACAATTTTCTATCGAATAATAATAAAATATATAAACGATCTTTTAAAAAAAATTTTTAATACTTATTTTTCTGTCGATCGATATTGTTAGAAACGTTAAAAATTTAATATTAAAATTTGACGATTCGTTGAATCGAGTAAGGAGTCGAGAATATTTTGTTTCGCTTATTAATTCTCTGTAACGACGTAAAATACGAAACGTTAAAAAAAAATATTTGGAATAAGAAGCGCACGAAGATAATTTTTTTTTATCTCATTGTACTATTTCAATTCGTTTATTAATAATATATATGAATTTTTATTTGTTTTTTATCTGTCTAACAAACAGTGATCATTTTTTTATTACAAGCAGAGAAATTTTTATTTTTATTCTTCGTAAACGATCGAAAGTTATTATAGTTATTCGAAATTAACTAAAATTAATTTAAAAGACGTACGACTTCGATTCAAAACACAATTTATACCGACAATGTTTAGATGCGCGTATTATTCGTGTCGACGTTCGTTCGCTATTGTATCGTATACATTTATGTATTATATCGCCGTATAAATATTTCCACCCATCAGTCGCGGTTGGATCGTCTAACGAGCATGTTCGACGCCGGTGCGTTGATTTGTACACTGTCGTCTCGAGTAGATGGACAATATTATACCCTGCTTGACCCGGGTCATGCGTATACGTCTACGACCATAAGGGATTAAACGGTGAATCGAAGAAACGAATCGTCGCGCGATCAGTGCGATTTTTTCAACGCTAGATGTCGTTGACAAAGCATTTGTCGTCTCAAGAGGAGGATTTCCGTTCTTGAATGAACGCAACGAACGTTCGAAGCCGAAGAAAAATCTCTAATCTCGTTTCGAAAATGAAATCGTTCGTTGTTAAAGAAATAAAAATAAAGAAGTTCGTTGTACGAAATTTGTGCAAGGAAAAGTAGTTTTGCGTGAAATTTTGTTAAAAAAAAAAAAAAAAACGATTTGACGAAGAGGAAAGAGATTCGTGGTACGAAATTTGTGCAAGGAAAAGCAGTTTTGCGTGAAATTTTGTTAAAAAAAAAAAAAAAAAGTTCGTTTTTCGAAATTTGTGCAAGGAAAAGCAGTTTTGCGTGAAATTTTGTTAAAAAAAAAAAAAAAAAGTTCGTTTTTCGAAATTTGTGCAAGGAAAAGCAGTTTTGCGTGAAATTTTGTTAAAAAAAAAAAAAAAAACGATTTGACGAAGAGTAAAGAGATTCGTTGTACGAAATTTGTGCAAAGTAAATTAGTTTTATTAGTTAAATTAGTGGGGAGAGGGGGGGGGGCACGTTGTTAAAATACATCGAATGATTTGATGAAAAATAAAGAATATAATCACGGATTAACGAATCGCGAGGATTTGTTCCGATTTAAGAGGATGGATAATCGCAAAGATTCGAACGAGGACGTGCACATTCTTGTTTCCCCTGTGACCGAAAATAGCTATCAACAGTGTCCGCTAGTTATCGAGATTTGGCAAGCCTCCAACGAGTAATTAATCGAATTAAAGCGTGGCACTCGTTAACCTTTATTCTCTTTTCAAACTCCTGTTGCATCCCTACCCTTAACAGGTTACACGATTCGTTCGAACTCTTTCGCTGTGATTTTTGATTTTATTAAATGGGTTTTTTCAAAATTTTATTAGTTCTTCGAGTATAAAATAAAATAATTATTTACGGATTATATACGTTCGTACAAATTACGATCAAAAACTTAAAACTTGGAAAATTATCGTACATTTATCATTAAAAATACGCGAATTTATGAACGGATGCAACATCTCGCGCCTAATTACAGCGAAAGAAGGAACGAATATACGCGACAATAATAAAAACGAAACAATTCGAATTTAATTATATTATAATCCAATGTTTCGAACTTTTTTTACCCAATTTAATTCTTCGAATTCCAACTTAACATCCCACAGATTTTTTTCAAAATCTTGAAATCCTAAATCCATTATCCAGAATTAATAATGCTACTTCAAATCAGATTCCAAGATTACAATTTTATCGAATTTACTCGCGATTCGACATCCGTGTCTTTAAATTTAAATTTAAATCTCCCGTATTAAATTCGCATTCGATTTCGAAAAAACCAAAAATTGAGATCAAAACCAAGAAAAAAAAAAAAAGTCGATACTCGATGAAAAGCTAGGTGAAAAAAAACCGAGATCAAAACTCTTAAAAATAAAAAAAAAAGATAGATAAAAGAAAGATAGAGAGATAGAGAGAGAGAGAGAGAGAGAGAGAACCGGTCCACCAGCCCCAGCGAGATATATATCCTCTTGGAATCGTCACGTTGGCGGCATCGCAGTGATCGTGGTCGGCGATTCGTCGTACTTGGCCGCTACTTTTCGCGCAAATGTGTTGCGTTGTTGACCATCTCTGGATGGTGGAAAGAAAGCGTCGAGAGGGATTGATGGAGAGTGTTTCA